AAGGAACAAAGGCAGCTCAGGAGCAGGAGAGGAGCGAGCCAGGGCCTTGGCTGGCACCCAGCAGGAATCTGAGTCCAACATGTGTTTGAAATCAGGGGCTGAACTGCTACAAATGGGAGCAGAGGAATTGCCAGCTTGGATCGTGCCCAGGGTCCATCCTTTCCACTGCCCTTGGCACCACCGGGGACGAGCACCCGGCTCTGGGAGAGGCACCAAAGCCCCCGGAGCGACCCCGTGTCCCAAATCCACCCCACGGGGGGATCCCTGGGCTCCTCATTCCCGCTGCAAAGTCCACAGGAACATCCAGAGGGATCTCACCGTCCCAAATCCACCCCACGGGGGGATCCCTGGGCTCCTCATTCCCGCTGCAAATCCGCTCTCCCTCGTCCACAGGAACATCCAGAGGGATCTCGCCGTCCCCCCCCGTCTGTCTGTCCGTCCAGCCGCGGGAATTCCTGGGGGAAAACAGCCCAGCCGGGGAAAGAGGGAGGTGATTTGGGGACAAACTGAGCTTGTCCTTCCCCCCTTTGCCCCGCGCAGCTCCCGGGGCCTCCCCCCGTGCCCTCCAGCGGAGGAAGAGGAGGGTGAGGAGGAGGAAGGGGCGGAGGACGGGGCTCGGGCTCTCTCTGCCGCCCAGGTGATGCTTCCCCAGCGCCAGCAGAGGTGCCGGGGGCTAATCAAGATCGACGTCGGAACAAAACAGCGGCTCGGCAGCTCGGAGCCAGCGGGAAGGGGGAAGCAGATGGGCTGGAGGAGGCAGGAGCTGCTCTAAATGGATTGATGGAGGGGCCTTTGAGGGAGATGGATTGGAGACGGAGCCGCTGGAGGAAAGGGCCGGGGTGGCCACGCTGTGAATGGGGCAGGGGCCCAGGGACGGGCGGGGAAGGGAGAAAGGCCCGCAGATAACAGATGGATGGACACAAAGACTGGAAGGGAAGAGGGGGACAGATGGACAAGCAATAGAGAGAGTCGGGAGGAGAGAGGGATCTGGACATAATTAGATTGGATCTGATTATGACAGACTCGATTAGAGCAATATTATGATCAGGAGCTTCTGTCGCTATTTGGCTTTTAGGGGGGAACAAAAGCCAGGGGAGGGGGGACGAGCAGAGGCGCAGGGAACGGGGCAGGATGAAAGGGAAAAAAGGGAAGGGGCTCCTTGTGAAAGCTGTCAGGGGTGGTGGTGACAGATTGTGTGGTTATGGAGCACCGGGGCCGTCTGTCGCCGACAGAAACCTGCCCGGAAAACAGACAAAAGGGGCTCCCAGAGCCCGGGGCTCCGGCCCTGCCCGGGGCTGAGCACTCCAGGAGCTCCCTGGGAGGAGTAACCAGGGCTGGGTGTGCACACACCCCTTCCTCAGACCCCCCCTGCCCGCCTGAGGGTGCGAGCACACGGGTGAACACGCGTGGGGACACACGGGGGGCACGGCCTGGCCCTGCACACGCGGGTGCCAGCCCTGAATTCCTGCCCCCAAAAGCCTCCAGTCCCGGCTTTCACACTCTGGGGGGGCCCAGTTGGGGGGTTCAGGACCTGAAGGGGCTACAAGAGACGTGGGAGAGACTTTGGAGGAGTCCAGGACAAGGGGGCGGGTTCAGAGGTTTGGGTGGATATTGGGAAGGAATCCTGGCTGGGAAGGTGGGGAGGCCCCGGCACAGGTTATTATTCCATGGCTGCCCCATCCCTGGGAGTGTCCAAGGCCAGGTTGGAGCAACCTGGGCTGGTGGGAAGTGTCCCTGCCCATGGCAGGGGGTGGAACGAGGGGAGATTTAAGGTCCCCTCCCACCCAAACCGTTCTGACACTCTGACAGAGGATCACCACCCCAAGTGAAGGTTCACAAGCTGCCCCGGTGCTTCTCCACAGAATCCCAGAATCCCCGAGGCTGGAAAAGCCCTCCCAGCCCCTGGATCCCCCCTGTGCCCCATCCCCACCTCGTCACTCAGTGCCACGTCCAGTCCTCCTGCAGAGGGACCTTCCTGGAGGGGTGGGGGCACAGCCCCCAGTGGGTGACGGCCCCAGAGCAGGGGCAGGAGCTGCAGAGCCCCCAGGGATTGATCCTTCCAGGGTCTCTGGGCTGTGCCCGGGATCTCCATCCAGGTCTCCCCCCCCCGTGGGCTGGAAGTGCAGCCCCTCCCCGTGTCCCATCCCAGCAGCTCGAGGGTTAAACCTGCCCAGACAGGGCCGCTGGTCCCCGGTGGCTTCGCACAATATGTCACCTCCTCTCCTGCCAAATGCTGCCTCTTCCAGCCTCCCTCCAAACCTCTCCCTGCGCACACAGGAGCTGCTCAGGGTCCCCCCAGCCCCTGCAGCTGATCCCTGAGCCCCCCGGGGTCCCAAAATCACAGGATCCTGCAATGGTTGGGGTTGGAATGGACCTCAAGGAGCGTTTTGTTCCAACCCACCTCCCACCAGACCGGGTTGCTCCGACCTTGGACACTTCCAGGGGTGGAGCATCCACAACTTCCCCAGGCACCTCGTGCCACCACCCTCCCAGGGCAGGATTCCTCCCCGATATCCAGTCCAAGCCTCTGCTCTGGCAGTTTGAAGCCCTTTCCCCCTGTCCTGTCCCTCCATGTCCGGGTCGAGGTGGACAAGCCCCGGGGGGCTTCACCCCCTTGGATGGAAACACCACCAAGGCCCCCCCTGGGTCCCTCAACCTCGCAGGTAAAACTGAAACCAGAGACAGGTGTGAAAACCTCGGCTCTGCTTCCCACAGGTGCCCCCCAACCTCTTCCTTCTTGCCCCCCTGTGTTGAAATGCAGGCCCAGGAATCCCGAGGAAAGAGGGATTTCTGCAGGCTCCAGTTCAGGGGCTCCTGCCAGCGAGAAACCAGGTTGGTTTTGACGTGGAAAACCAGTTTCTTCCAACCAGGAGCACTCGGAAGGGAAGGACAAAGCCAGAGGGTAAAATAGGTGAATATTTCCAAAGGATTTCGAGCTGTGGGCTCCCCATCCCTGGGAGAAACTCACTGGACTGGAGACGAGCTGGAGGGAGCTGAAACCTTCCCGTTAATTTGGCCGAGGCTGAGCCCGGTATCCCAGCGGGAAAGCTCTGGAAGCGGCTCCAATCCTTCCCCCTCTCTTCCCGGCAGGATGCCCGGAGCAGCCCGGGATCAGCTGCGGGGAGAGGGGGGGCCCTGCTGGCGGCCTGGCAGGGGGAGCAGAGCCGGGCCCGGGGGTGGGCAGGGAACAAACACCGACAGCCCTTCCCGCTCCTCCGGGAGCCCCGGGAAGGAGGGAGGAGGGGGATGCGCCTGCCCGCGAGGGGGGCGTTTGGGGTGGGATGTGCCCCGGGAGGTTTGGGAAGGAGGGGGGATTTGGGATGTGCGAGGGATCGGGAGGTTTGGGAAGAGGGGCGTTCGGGATGTGCGGGGGGGGCTGGTGGGTTTGGGAAAGGGGGGGATTGGGGAAGGGGAAGATTTGGGATGTGCAGCGGGCTGGGAGGTTTGGGAAGGGGAGGATTTGGGATGTGCAGGGCGCTGGGAGGTTTGGGAAAGGGAGGATTTGGGATGTGCAGCGGGCTGGGAGGTTTGGGAAGGGAAGGATTTGGGATGTGCAGCGGGCTGGGAGGTTTGGGAAGGGAAGGATTTGGGATGTGCAGCGGGCTGGGAGGTTTGGGAAGGGGAGGATTTGGGATGTGCAGGGCTCTGGGAGGTTTGGGAAGGGGAGGATTTGGGATGTGCAGGGCTCTGGGAGGTTTGGGAAGGGGAGGATTTGGGATGTGCAGGGCTCTGGGAGGTTTGGGAAGGGGAGGATTTGGGATGTGCAGGGCGCCGGGAGAAGGGGCTGGGGGGGTGTGGGGGTGTGTTCCCTGTGGAGAGCGGGGATTTGCGCTGGATGCGCTGGATGCGCTGGATGCGCTGGATGCGGGACGTGCGGCGCATCCCGGGCGGGATCCAGGCGGGATCCAGGCGCGCCTCGGGCTCGGGGCGGACTCTCCCGTCGCCGCGAGCTCATTAAGGGAATATTGTCTCCTAATCGGTGCCATAGCAATGGCGAGGAGGCTCCGGAGCCGCCACCTGATCCCTCCGCCTCGGCAAACTCCGGGACCATCTGCCGAGCCGTGCCAGGCGCTGGAGCCCACCCAGGCGCCCGTGCCCATCACCTGGGCCTCGCCTGCTGTGCGGGGAGGGCACCGGCCCCCGGGGCTGCCGGGGGGGGCACGAGGAGGAGACAAAGGTGGGAGAGCCCAGCGAAGGCGCTGGGAGGTGAGGGAGGCCCCCAAATCGTGGGGGTGACACGAGGATTTAGGGGCAGTGGGGATGAACCGGGGCAGGTTTTCTCCAGGCGGAGTTTTGACGGGAGAATTCGAGCGGGGTGAGAGGCAGAGGCCGAGGGATCGTCGTCTCCTGCTCCAAGTGTTTCGAAGCAGTCCCCGCGTCCTCCGGGGGGATTTTCCTCCCCTTTCCTCCTCTTTCCCTCGGTTCCCTCACCAAACTTGGCTCAGGTGGATTTTCCAGCAGCTCGCAGGCGGGACCTGCGGGATGGGGGCTGTCCCTGGTCCGGGCGCCCACCCGGGCTCAGCCACCCCCAGGGGCACCCAGGGCATCCTCGGGGAGCTCCACACGGACACGCGGACACGCGGACACAGGGACACGCAGCCCCGTCACACCCACGGCCCCGGGGGCTGCGCGCCGCCGGGATCCACTGGGAATGATCCCCCTTCTCCCGGCGCCGCTCCCGCCTCCCCTGTCCCCGTCCCGTCCCCTCTCGCCGCCCCCCTTTATGAAATATGCAGGGGGAACAGATGTCGCCTTCTCCCGGAGCACCCCCGCCCTCCTCCCTCCCTCCCGCCCATCCCACCACCCCACCCACCCTCCCGGACCGCAGCCAACCTCCCCCTCCCTCCCCTCCCCTCCCCTCCCCTCCCGGGGCTCCCCCCTCGCCCCCAGCCAATGGCAGCCCCTCGCCCGCCCTAAATATTGATGAGGGGGGAGCGGCCGAGCGGCCAATGAGACTCTCGGGGTCGGGCCCGGCGAGCGAGGCCGGGCTGGATAAATAGGGTTTGGGGAACATGCCCCCGTGGAGGCTCCGAAGCCACGCTCCTGCCCGGGCCGGACCATGGCCGGGCCCCGAGGCTGCCGGGATTCTCCCTGATTTTCCCCCCAAATCCACCCCGCGGAGCAGAGAGAGCGCCCAGGGAAACTTTCTCCCCCCTCGATGGATGGATGAGCCAAGGGGTTCCTCCCTCCTTGGATTACCGGAGCTTCATCCCGCTGGAGAGCTGGACCTTGGGAATGGTCATCGGGCTGGGGGTAAGGGGGCTGTCCCGGGGGCGGGCGGCTCTGGAATGGGGGAGGGATGGAGAGTTAAACAGCACAATCCATGTGGGAATGTGGCCCTGCACTCCCGGGAAGGGGCTTGACCCGGGCGGCAGGTTTAGCACCCAAACCCGCTCGGCACTGGCACGGGAGGACTCGGAGCAGGAAAAAGGAAAGGAACCTCCGTCCAGGTGGCCTGAAAGTGGGGCCCGGACGCACTTTGCGTGGCCAGGGAGTTTCCAAGGAGAATCGTCGGGAAAATTGTCGCCTCAGGGGCCGGAAGTGGAAGGAAAAGGGTGAGAGAGGAGGTGGGAAGCTCCCACTGCCCCTCGGGGGTCTGAGCGCTGGGGGGGCTTTGCTGAAGGCAGGACTGCAGCAAGTGCAGGTTAAAGAAGTTCTTGCAGTAGATGAAGTCAGGAAGGTGGCAATTTGCAGCTTATCCAGACGAAAGAGGGGGGAAAGAGCCACTTGGAGCACAAGCCTCCCGTGCCAAGGAAAAGCTTTGGCGGGACTGGACTAACCCAGCGAAGGAGGAGCGGGAGAAGGAGTTTATTTGAGTCCGGGATTGAAACTGGGCTTCAGGGGGTCTGGGGTCTCCTGCCGACATCCTGAGCCCCCCGGGTGGCCCCCCTGCCCCACTTTTGGGTGTCTGATGCGCCCTCAATTCCCTCCCGAGGATGCAGAGCCGGGCACAGCGACACGTCCCACGGGCTGTGCCCAGGGGGGTGGTGGCTCCCGGGCTGTCCCTGCTCCGGGTCACCGTCCTGTCTGCCCGCGGAGCTTCCAGGATGAAGCGTCCTGCTCCTTCCTCGCTGCTGGGGTCCTGGGGATGGATCAGGCGTCCCGGGGATGGATCAGGCGTCCCGGGGATGGATCAGGCGCCCCGGGGATGGATCAGGCGTCCCGGGGATGGATCAGGCGTCCCGGGGATGGATCAGGTGTCCCGGGGATGGATCAGGTGCCCTGGTTTGTCTCCCTCCCCGCGCTGGGGGGATGGAGCCGGGAGGCAGCGGAGCCGCTCCGCGTTTTCCCGCCGGGGTGTCTCATCCCCACCCGGATTGAACCTCTGGCTGAGGCAGCACCGGGGGCTGCAGAGCAAGAGGAGAAAAGGTCTGTCGTGGGAGTGGGGTGGGAAAGAGGGAGGCAGAGGAGCCGGGAGGCAGCGCAGGAGACCAAATTCCCGGTGCCTCGGAGCGGCGGGGAGAGCGCTGGAGGAGAACAGGAGTGTGATGCTGGATGTCCAGCCCCTGGATACCCGCGGCCCAGGAGGTGGGAGATGTGTCTGTGCGTGTGCAGGAACCTGTGTGTTCGTGTCGGTGAGCAAAGACCCCACCAGACACATTCTGGGGGGCTCAGGGGGCCCTGCAGACAGTTCTGCACAGGCTGACGGGGCTCCTCGCGATTTTCGGGCATTGCTGCTGCAAAAACTCACATCCTGCAAGTCTTTTAAGGCAGGACAGGGACTATTTCTCCCCTGCCCCTGTTGGTTTTGTTCCATTTCCCGGCTGCGGCGGCTCAGCACAAGTTTCCCTGAGAGAGGTCGCGGCTCGTCCATCCCTTCCCACCCCGGCAGCGTTTCCCCATCCCAAGTTCGTCCCCCTTCCCCTTTCCCAGCGGGAAGATGCTCCTGCGGCAGGACCTGCCTTTCCCGGCCCTGCTCCCGGGGCGCTGGAGGCGTCTGTGCGGGCACGGGGAAGGCAGCGGGGAGGAGGAGGAGGAGGAGGAGGAAGAAGGGGAGCAGAGGCAGAATTCCCGGCCAGCGGCGCAGCATCCCGGGGGGAGCATCCCGGGGGGAGCATCCCGGGGGGAACATCCCGGGGGGAGCATCCCGGGGGGAGCATCCCGGGGGGAGCATCCCGGGGGGAGCATCCCGGGGGGAACATCCCGGGGGGAGCATCCCGGGGGGAGCATCCCGGGGGGAACATCCCGGCGCCTCTGCGGCCGCCCGAGGCCGAGCAGCTGCGGAGGGTTCCATATGTCGGGGGCGGCAGATCCGTGACATACGGGCTCATTTAGCGCACAATGACCCCCCCCCCTCCCTTTCCCCTCGCCCCTGCGGGCTGGTTTTTTCCCCTTCCCTCATCCACCACCTGCCATCCCTCCGGCTCCCACCTTCTCCCGGAGCCTCCGCGCCGGCTCCTTCTCCAGCTCCCGCGTCCGGGGAGCCGCGGGACGAGGGGATGAGACCCCCCCTCCGTGCTTGTGTTTTCCAGAGCACCCGGGAGGAGTCGGGCTCTGACACCTGAGGGCTCCCGGCCCGCGGCAGGAGGACACCCGGCCGTTCGTTTATTCGCTTTTTATGCCTCCCCCCGCCCTCCCCGCGCCGTTTGTCGCCGAAGTTGTCGCCCGGCCAGCGAGCCCCCGGGGGGAAATGTCCCGATTCCCTCGCGTGTGATGAGGAGGAGGAGGAGGGGGAGAGCAGCACCCGGGGGGTCTCCGCCGTGAGAGCCGCAGCCGAGATCGGTGCCCCGTCCCCGCCGCGTCCGCCCGCCCGTCCGTCCGTCCGTCCCCACGAAGATGATGCTCAACTCCGACCAGACGGAGCTCGACCTCCCCCCGCCGCGCTCCGAGGCCGAACCCGCCTTCGGCGGCGGCTGCGGGGGCAGCGCGGAGGGCGCGGGGGGGGTCGGGCCGTGCCCCCCGGCCCCGGGGGAGCCCCTGAAGAAGGAGCTGCAGCACCTGAGCCGGGAGGAGCGGCGGCGCCGGCGCCGGGCCACGGCCAAGTACCGGACAGCCCACGCCACGCGCGAGAGGATCCGCGTGGAGGCTTTTAACATGGCCTTCGCCGAGCTGAGGAAGCTGCTGCCCACCCTGCCCCCCGACAAGAAGCTCTCCAAGATCGAGATCCTGCGCTTGGCCATCTGCTACATCTCCTACCTGAACCATGTACTGGATGTCTGAGCGTCCCAGCCCGCGTCTGTCTGTCTGTCCGTGTGTCACATCTCCTACCTGAACCATGTACTGGATGTCTGAGAGCCCCAGCCCGCGTCTGTCTGTCTGTCCGTGTGTCACATCTGCTACATCTCCTACCTGAACCACGTGCTGGACGTCTGAGAGCCCCAGCCCGCGTCTGTCTGTCTGTCCGTGTGTCACATCTGCTACATCTCCTACCTGAACCATGTACTGGATGTCTGAGCGTCCCAGCCCGCGTCTGTCTGTCTGTCCGTGTGTCACATCTGCTACATCTCCTGCCTGAACCACGTGCTGGACGTCTGAGTGTCCCAGCCCGCGTCTGTCTGTCTGTCCGTGTGTCACATCTCCTGCCTGAACCATGTACTGGATGTCTGAGAGCCCCAGCTCACATCTGTCTGTCTGTCCGTGTGTCACATCTCCTGCCTGAACCATGTACTGGATGTCTGAGAGCCCCAGCTCAAATCTGTCTGTCTGTCCGTGTGTCAGTTCTGCTGCATCTCCTGCCTGAACCATGTGCTGGACGTCTGAGCCACCTGGTCCATGTCCGTCTGTCCGTCCGCCACATCCCCTGCCTGAACTTGTGTCGGGAACTTCCGAGCCCAGAGCTCGAGTCCGTCTGTCCCTCCACGACCTGAACCCCCCGTCAGGCACCCCAAACACTGTGCTGTGTCTGTCTGTCTGTCCAAACGAGCCCCCGGCCATCTGCTCTCCCCCTGCCCCACCCACGGTCTGGATTTCCCCGCCACCGACCCCACGTCCGTCTGTCCTTCCACCCTGCCCCAGTCCAGGGGATGTCTGGCCTGTCAGATGTCCGTCTGTCCTTCCACCCTGCCCCAGTCCAGGGGATGTCTGGACGGTCAGATGTCCGTCTGTCCTTCCACCCTGCCCCAGTCCAGGGGATGTCTGGCCGGTCAGATGTCCGTCTGGCCGGTCAGATGTCCGTCTGGCCGGTCAGATGTCCGTCTGTCCCTCTGGATCTGCTGCCTGGCCCGGGGGGTCTCCGAGGTGTCCCACCCCCATGCCAGGCTGGAGCAGCCCCTGGGGGCATTCCCAGCCCCTCATTTGGGCTCCCCAAAACCCACCATTCCACTCCCCAGTCCCACCAGTAGGGCACTGGTGTGGCCCCTCCCTCTCCCAGCGTGGGGGGGGAACTGCACTTTACCGGGGCCGGGATGGGAAGGAAGCAGGAACGGCCCCTTCTCCCGGTTTCCAGCAGCTTCCAGCAGCTTCCAGCAGCTTCCAGCAGCCAGGAATCTCCCCTGACCCCCCCCCCCCCCTCAAAGACGGAGCAGCACTTGGGGAAAAGGAAGGGAGAGGGAAGGGAAAGCGGAGCCGAGCTGAGGGTGGGAAAACTCGTTGCAGGAGTGAATGTTTTGCCTCGTTTTTGGGGCTGTTTGGGCGGTTTGAGGGTTAATTTTGCACTGGCAGTGGCAGGAGCACGAGCAGGAGCCCCAGGAGGGGGGACCGGGACCGCTGGCTGTGCTTGGACACAACATTCCAGGTCAGGAGCAGAGCCTGGGAATGGGGATGGGGATGGGGATGGGAATGGGGGGCAGTTCCCGGGGAACGGGATGGGGCTGCTCCTCCTCCAGCCTCGTCTCCGGCCGGGCAGGGATGGGGATTTTGGGAGGCCAGAGGTGGAACTGCTGCAGTGTGAGGGGCAGGGAACTCCACAGACCCCCAGAGCTGGAACAAACGGGCCTGGGGCCGCCTGGGACCCCCTTCCCGGGGTTTTGGGCGCTGCCAGAGCTGGGTGTCCCAGCCCCACAAGGCCCCAACTGGGATTCCCAGGATTTCACACCTTTCCTGGCTCCATCCCACCCCTCTCTGCCTCCAGTTCCCAGCACCACCTCGCTCCATACCTCATTTTTCCCCCTCCCCACGGAAGCAGGGAGAAGGATCTCTACCTCTGTCTGGCTTGTCAGTGAATGTTGGATCCCGGAGGGCTGGAGCAGCTGATTCCAGAGGGCTGGAACAGCCACATCCCAGAGGGCTGGAGCAGCAGATCCCAGATCTGGCTCCCCCATCACCCCAGAGCAGAGCAGATGAGCCCACCCCTCCCCTCCCCTCCCCACAGTCTCTGTGCCACGAGGATATTTATTGAATTAATTTATTGAGAAATGTTATTATTATTATTATTATTATTAATTATTATTATTTATTTGCTGTGTTGTCGTGCACTTTTGGGAAAGGAAAAGGAGGAAAACGAGTGTAAAAAAAAAAAATATCAAGATCACGTCGGGAAACCCTCCAGGCCACCCTCGGATTCCCCGTGTTCGGCTGCTCGGACTGTGCAAGGATTTATTATTTATGAGTTCACAGGGAAGGCGGGGGGGGGAACCAATTAAATCGCCAGCACAAGAGAGATCTTGAACTCGCAGCGCTCAGCTTCACGTTTTCTGCCCTTTTTTCTTTTTAATTTTCAGCCCGTGTTTCACCATCTCTGTCAGGTTCGCTCGGGGGGAGGGCGGTGGGAGGATGTGCCCTCCCGGCACTCCAAGTCCCGCACCTTCGCCTTTCCCAGCCCTGCTGGAGCCCGGTTTGGCTTCGCCGGGACCGGCAGCAGAGGGATGAGGATGCCCAGTCCCCCCTCAGCACCTCCAAACCCCGACAAACCCCCCCCCGTCTCCCGCAAATCCCCCGGAATATCGGGGTGGCCCCGAGCGCGGCGACCCCCGCGGGTCCCTCCGGCGGCTCTACCCCGTCCCCCGGGCCGCCCACCCCCGGAGCCCCCCCGAGCCGTGCCGGGGGTGGCTGGGGGGAGATCGCGGCTCCTTTGTCCGCGCCGGTGCCGCCCGTCCCCCGGGGCGCGGCTGCAGCTGCTTCCCGACCCGCTCCCAATTTCGCCGTGTAATCGATTGGCCTCGGCTGCGGGGACGAGCCGGGGGGAAACGACAACCGGGGGGCAGGGAGAGAGGGGAGGGAGGGCGAGACGGGGCTGAAGGGGCCAGAGGGGCACGGGAGGGGACCCCGGCGCTGCTTTTTGCCCCAGCTCGTGGTTTGAGGATCGAGAATGGTTTGGGTGGAAGGGACCTTAAAGATGTTGTGGGCAGGGACACCTTCCACCAGCCCAGGTTTGCTCCAACCTGGCCTTGGGCACTTCCAGGGATGGGGCAGCCACAGCTTCCCTGGGCAACCTGTGCCAGGGCCTCCCCACCCTCCCAGGGAGGAATTTCTTCCCAATATCCAACCTGAATTTCCCCTCTGTCATTCCCCCTTTGTCTGTCACTCCGATTCCCGATGAATGTCCCCACCCCCTGTACCCAGACCCAGCTCTTCTCCCAACCCCTCCAACTCCAACCTCCCCACGTGGATCATCCCCGTCCCACCCCTCCGGCTCCGGGAGGGAATATTCGGGTCAGGGCAGCACCAGCTCCGTGGCAGTGACTCCCAAACCTCTCTGGGGCCCGTTGTCCCCTCTGCCAGCCCCGGCCCTGACATATGGTCCTCATTGTGCCTCTCACAATGGAAACACTCGACACTAATTTGGATGCTGGCTCCGGCCTCGCAGCCCGGCTCCGACAGATTGGGGGTCCCTCGATGTGCTTTGTGCTCCAAAAGGCAGCTCTGCCTTCTCCTCTGCCTCCCACCGTGTCCTCCTACACACTTCCCAACTCCCTATTCCCTTCTTCCCAGCTCTCCATCCCGGGCTCCTGGGACGCTGCTCCCACAGGTCGGTGCGTGCACGAGGAATGTGGCGCTTCCCGGGGGAAAATCCCCCTGGAAAACGGGTCCTGGAGGTGAGAGAAACAGCACAAAAGCTGCTCAGCTGCCTCTGCCCGGCGGCGTTTCCGTGTCCCTGCCCGGGGATGACACGGAGGGGACGGTTCTTGGCCCGTTTTCCACGTCCTTTCCTCTCCCTAAAAGGAGCAGCCGAGGCAGGATGGGACCCCCTGGCTTGGGAAGGGGGAAGGACACCCCTCGTTTCAGCACCGACCGAGGCCGGGTCGGGGCCCTGCGCGTGTCCCTGTCCCCCTGGATGTCACAGTGTCACCTCCCCGTCCCCCTGGGTGTCATGGTGTCACCTCCCCGTCCCCCTGGATGTCCCGGTGTCACCTCCCTGTCCCCAGCCCAGGGCCCTGCGCGTGTCCCCGTCCCCCTGGATGTCCCGGTGTCACCTCCCCGTCCCCCTGGGTGTCGCGGTGTCACCTCCCCGTCCCCCTGGGTGTCGCGGTGTCACCTCCCCGTCCCCCTGGGTGTCACGGTGTCACCTCCCTGTCCCCAGCCCAGGGCCCTGTGTGTGTCCCCGTCCCCCTGGATGTCACAGTGTCACCTCCCCGTCCCCCTGGATGTCGCGGTGTCACGTCCCCGTCCCCCTGGGTGTCGCGGTGTCACCTCCCTGTCCCCAGCCCCGGGCCCTGCGTGTGTCCCCGTCCCCCTGGATGTCACAGTGTCACCTCCCCGTCCCCCTGGGTGTCGCGGTGTCACCTCCCTGTCCCCAGCCCGCCGCCGAGGCAGCAGTGCCATCTGCTGGGTCCCCACACGCTCAGCCCAGACCCCTGTCACCCTCCCCGGGTTGGGGACCCCCATCCCTGCCCCCCGGGGAGGGGACCCCCGTGCCCAGAGCGGGGTGAGGAGGGAGGGGACGGTCCCCGTAAATCACCGGGTGGAACAAAGCGGCCCTTCCCAGCCGGCCGGGAGGCTCCAGCAGCCCCAGCTGGCCGGGAAGGAGCTCCCGGCGCCCATTAATCACTGCCGGGGCCGGAATGGGAGCGAGGGGACAGCTGCTGGGGAATGGGGGGGGCAAGGGGGACCCACACCCGGCGGACACCCCCGAACTGGGGGTCGCGAGCACCCGAATTTGGCCACAGCTCCTGCGCCCCCGGGGTTACACCCCAAGGCTGCTCCAGGGATCGAGCCCATCGAGCCACGGGAAAAGGGGGGCGGGGGGGACCGGCCCTGCCCAATCGTCCCCCCGATCATCGCCCCCAGCCCCATCGCTCCCCGCGCCACCGCCCCCTGCCCCATAACCCCCGCCCCATAACCCCTGCCCCATAACCCCTGCCCCATAATTCCCCTCTGATCGCCAATCGCCCCCAGCCCCATCGCTCCTCGCGTCATCGCCCCCCGCCCCATAACCTCTGCCCCATAACCCCTGCCCCATAATTCCCCTCTGATCGCCCATCGCCCCCCGCCCCATCGTTCTCCGCCCCGCCGCCCCTCTCCCTCCGCCCCACAATTCCCACCCCACAATTCCCACCCCACAATTCCCGTCCCATAATTCCCATCCCATTATCCCCGCCCCCTCTGCCCCCCGGCCCGTCGTTCTCCGCCCCATAATCCCCCCGCCCCATAATCTCCACCCCATAATCCCCCCGCCCCGTCGCCCCCCGCCCCATAATCCCACCCCGCCGGCCCCGCCCCTTCCCCTCTCCCCCCTCCTCGCCCCCTCCCCACAAGCCCCGCCCCCTCTCCCCCCTCCCCATTCACTCCAAACAATCCATTTAAATCCAGCCAATGGACGCGCTCCGGGCCGGCAGCGCCGCTCGCCATTGGCCAGCGCCCGGGGGGTGGGCGGGGCCTGGCCGTTCCCAGCCCCGCTCATTGATAGAACGCGGCTGTTCCGGGCGCGGGACGCGCTCCCGCCGCGCTCCCCACGCGTGGGACCGTCCCGACCCCCCCCAACCACCTCCGGGACCCTGCTGTGTGTGTGTGGGGCTCCCTTGGATTGGGAATACTCCTGTCTGGAGCAAACGGGGGTGCTGTGCCTCCCTCTGTGTGCGCGTGGGACTCCCGCGAGTGGCCCGTGACGGCTCCTTCCCACGAGCCCTGCCGGGCGAGGGGATCGCGCTGCTCCAAAGCACCTGGGCCTGGGCCCCCCTCCCGTAAAGCCCCCCACCCCTACGGCTCCCTGTTCTCCCGTCCCTCCCTGCAAAGGGGTGGTCTCCAGGTGTGTCCCCCCTCACCCCATCCCTCCTCGCTCCCTCTGCATCCCAAAGGAGCGGGGCTGGGGGCAGCTGACAAATGGGGCAGGGGGGCTTCCAGGCGCTCCCGCCCAACCCGGTGCTGCTGGAGCAGGGAGAGGGTCAGGGCTGACCCCCCCCCCATCCCCTCCCCGGCACTGGGAAGCTGCCACTTGCGTGCCCGAGATGCCCCGACCCCGAGGGGCTTGGCCGGATCCTCCACTGGGCACCCCGACCCCGAGGGGCATCGCTGGACCCCCACCCCGGGCGACCCCCGGGAGCTGGACCCCGTTTTCATGGGTGGGGGGCACCCG